AATTTAAAAGATAAATGGATGAGTAAATTCTTGTAATATGGCGGTTTCGATAGATTATTGCAGTTTTTCAAAGAATATCAGGATAAGAGTGTTAGTACTTTATCGTAAATTGAAAAAGAGATCTTATCATTTTTATTAAACACATTCTAAAACTATGTTATAGCTGCTTGTGCTGTTCACATTCCAAATTTATATAAGGCGTCAAGAGGCATTCAAATAATTAGACCTCTAGATTAAGTGTTATTAGATATACGATAATCTGAAGAGCCCAAAGAGTTCCAATTGCTGGTTTAAAAGTTGAAGGAAAGTAGATTGGGGGATAACATTATAGAGAAGATAGAGAACTTCATCTCTGTTTTAATCAATCTGATATAAGAATTGTTAAAATGTAATGAATTGGAATAGGAGGATAGATAAATTATCGAACATAGTATTATAATTATAATAGTAATACTGTTACATAATCAGGAATTGTTGGTGAAAAGTATTGAAAACATTGAATTTATCAACATATTTTTCAGTGGTATCTTTACTGGTAATTCTGATACTTTGCGTAATCTGTTTAGCAGAGCCATTCTTGTACTTTGTCATGAAAGTTAAAAGAAAAACAATTAACCAACAAGAATCATTTTATAACAGTTGATAGCAATGGAAAATTCCCAGGGTAGTTCTGCTTAATATTATGAATTATTGAGTCAGTTAATAGACAGTGCATTTGAATCTGAAGAATCCTAACAATTCATTGATTATGAATAACTCAGCCAATAAGTTTTGCAGAATTTAATGAATTATTAAAGTTAGGAATCTAGATCCAAGAATACTTCTACTGATAAAATACTAGTTGGCTTATTGAATCTCTTGACTAAGTTGTATCGATTCATTAAACAGCCAATTGTTGACATTATATTCAACGATTGTTTATTTAGTATGCAAGAAGAGAAGGAGATCAAATGCAAATCTGCTGAAAGTAGAAAAGTAGCATTTAACTTACTCAACAAATTGGCTGAGTAATAGAACATGAACATCATCATAGCGAACCTCTAATTGCTAAGCTAGAAAATACCCAATCTCAATAGATGGAATTATATACCTACAAGTGAAATAAGGAGTACTCTTGGTTATTGTGGTATAAAAAATCTAAGATGCATTTGTTACATGAATGCGATGTTATAACAATTTTATATGATAAAACCCTTTAGATATGGCATATTGTAGGCAAATGATCAAAAAGAGGTAGATTTACAAATTAGTAAAACTGGATTTACTTATGATGATAATGTGCTCCATCAATTGCAATAAATGTTTAGTTATTTAGAACTATCAGATCGTATTGATTATAATCCTTAAGAGTTTTGTGCAGCATTTAAAGATTATGCTGGTGAGCCAGTCAACATATTTATATAATAAGATGCATAAGAATTTTTAAATATGATATTCGATAAATTGGAAAATATGTTAAAGGAAACTGTCTATAAAAACATTATGGATGGAGTATTTGGCGGAAAGACTTGCACGTAGATTTAATGTCAAAATTGTAAAGTAACAAAATCAAAGGATGAAATATTTTACAATTTATCTTTACCAATCAAGAATTTAAAGAATTTGTAGGAGTGTTTTGATAAATTTGTTTAAGGAGAGGTTATTTCCGATTTTAAATGTGAGAGCTGTAATTAGAAAGTGGATGTGAACAAATGTTAGCTTTTGGCTCAATTGCCAAATGTTCTAATCTTGCATCTCTAGAGAATTGTGTTTAATTTGGATACTTTTCTGAATGAGAAGATTAATACAAGATTGGAATTCCCAATCAATTTAGATTTGCAATAATACACAATTAACAAGGATCAATGCACATCATATAAATTAGTTGGAGTAGTCGTTCATGTTGGTACTGCAGATGTTGGACATTATTTCAGTTATATAGATATCAAGAATCAGGATTAATGGTTAGAGTTTAATGATCATAAAATTAAAGAATTTAAATTGAAGTAAATGCAATAAGAATGTTTTGGTGGAGTAGGTAATATGGATTATAATGATAATGATGTATGGGGATCAGGATTCAGAGAGAATTCTTAAAGTGCTTACATGCTCATCTATGAAAAGGTTTAGAAAGATCAAATATCTCTTGTATTCAACAGTGAACAAGAACTATAAAATCATTTACTCTAATTTGAGAATTACACAATTGACCAGAATTAAAAAAATTGTCTATTGGTTGACTATAATTCATTGAAACCATACATTCCAAAGGAATATTAAAGCAAAGTGAATTGTGACAATCAACAATTCCTATTAGAACGTAATTTGTTCAGCCAAGATTTCTTGAAATTTATCCTAGATGCAAGTGAATTTGTGAATGAAGAGAATGCCAATATGATGATTGATGTATTAATCAAGTTTAATTATGATCTGTTGTCAAGATCATATGAAAATTCATTAATGGATTAATTTAATACCAAAATCTTACAATTAATTTAATAATATCCAAATATCAATTACCTTGATTTGGTTTACTTTGGCAAATTAAACAAAGTAGTGGATTTATTATTAGTGTGTCCTGAAGCCAGAACACGCAAACACTTTAGCAAATTGTTATCAACACTATTTAGTTAAGCAATCTAGATTTAAGGAGAAATCACAGAGAAATTCAATGAAGGATTAGATCAATTATTCTTAATGATTCAAGATCAAGTCCCTAAGAATTGGACGAGATATGAATTTTATTTCCAATTTTGGTTGGACTTTTTATAGGAAGGCAAACCATAATAAGAATACCTCATGAAGAAAAATATGTTCTTATATATGATAGATTTTATATTAGACAAAAGCAGTCCATTGCAATTATACGAAAAAAAAGTGTAAATGGGGAATGCCTATGTAGCTATGAATATTCAAATTTAAGTTTAAATAGTATCTACTTTATTGAACCTAAATCAATAATTAAGTTTGAATGAGAAGAAATTATTGTATTAACCTAAATTTTACGATAAAATACTGAAAACTAAAGTAGACGACATTTTACCTTTGATAATAAAATTATCTTATAAGAATAAGTACTTCTCAGAGATTATATCAGGATGTATTATGCGTGGTATGTCAAATGGTGAGGTTGATGAATTCAAAAATTATTTATAAGTAGCTTAATCCTTCTTATTGATTGATGACAATCTCTAAATTGAAAGGCTAGAATGGTTAATCGGCATTCCATCATCTAAACAGAAGGAGTCAACGAAAATCTATGATAATCAACTAAACGAAATCCCATCATTTGGATTGTTTGGACTATCGAGTTTGGAAGAAGATTATTGGACATTTGCCAGTCCATTAGGGTGGTCAAATTGTTTATTTGATTATTTCTGTTCTCATAGAGGAATCAAGAATTATGATACCCAATGTCTATTAATACTCAAGTGTCTCCTTCAAATTAGTATCTAAAATCAAACATGTTTCAATTACATTTCCAATCTGCCATGCGTCAATTATCAATACGTAATTTATTTTATCTATTTGTAGAAATATAATGAAGACATCTTCAAGACCTTTTTAGACATCTACATTTTAGATACGAAACGATTCTATTCTTTGAATAATCGTAAATAGGAATCTGAAGAAACTAAACTATTACTTGAAGAATACCTAAAACAATTAGAATTGATACGTGACCCCTCTAAACCATAGTATGATTATATCATTGGAAAATCTGTGGAGGTCATTAAAAAAACTAAGTTGCTTTATCTATTCAATCCTGCCACTAAAGAGGAATTAACCGTTAACGAAGAATCTCCAAACTTTAAATAAATCAAATAACAAATTGATGATGGATAGCTTCAAAAAATTATAACTTTAGAAGTAAATAATCTTATTATCCTTAGGAAAAAGTCTTCATTACACATGTTTGTGACAATCTACCAACTGGGTAAACTAATGAAGCTCTGCCTGAATAATATGTAAAGGGAACCTAAATACATCATTTTTCAGTTGATCCAAATTCAGAAGCAGCTAATTTCATATAATCTAAAGCTTGGAATGTTGAAAGTAATGATAAAGCAGTTGTATCTAATCCAAGATAGTCTGAAACTGTGAGATAGATCCAATTACAGAATAATACAAATCGAAATCTCCAAGTAATCCTTGAAATCAAAGGACCCTAAAATGCTTGCCATTATATTCCTACTTCTAAGATTTAATCCCTAATGAATCCAAAAATTATTGCTACCATGCTCACAACTATCAAGATGAAAAGCCAAGATGAATTCCCTAAATTAGAATTGTCCTTGTAATACAAAAAACAAGAGCCTAAGTCAGAATCTTATCTGTATATATCAGATTAAAATGAAATGAATTTGGAGTTGTTATGATCAAGTGAAGTATATCTAAAATTATTATAAATAAATTTCGTTTGATTATTTAACAAAGGTTGGGGGTCTTTCGACCTCTAAAAATTTATGTAAGTCACCGGTATGAGCCCAACCCACGGTAATCTTTAGTAAAAGGCGAAAAATTAGCACGTTATAGGTTGAGCTCGGTGATGAATAAATTAAATATAATTCTAATCCACTTTATATATTTAATTAAATTTTTAGATTTTATGGGTTTAAGTATATTTATTGTTTAATCTGTCCTTCAGTAGATTGTTGACTTCGCTATAAAAATAAGAATAAACTACAAATATTGCAACTAATCTATGCGCTTGGGAAATGCTTTAAATCATTTTTTAGATGAGATTAAAAATATGTGTAAATGCTCAAATTTTGACTTTAAACTATTTTCAAATAAATGGAACCTTTGTTAGTATTATCATTAAAAATAACCCTATTGATAAGGGCATAGTCAATATTTCAAAGAAAAAATAGAAAAAGGAATTTACAATTATTTTTCTCTAGACAAAAAGATAAATCATTCACGTCTTATCGGATTCTTCCTTTCTGCAATTACTTATTATTTATATCATCTCTATGATTACTTAAATTTATAATATATTAATTATAATAAATCAATAAATGAGCGAGAGTGAAAGTGAATAATAAGATGGTTAAATAGATTATTACAAAGAAGCTGTGAAATTATATTACTATAATTGTATCTTGTACAATCATGTAAGGAATATAATAAATGGAGTTGGAAAAAGTAATTACAGAGAGGAATGATCTAAAAACTAAAGTGCTGAAATATGAACTATTGGGAGGGGAATTAGCATAATTGGAAGATGACGAAATTATGAATTAATTAGAAGATAGAAAGAAAAAGAGTAGAAGAAGCGCGGCAGATATTGATCGTCATTTTTTTTGCAACTTTAATAATTGCAAAAAAGCCTATGGCACGGAAGCCTCACTCATATAACATCAAAGATTAAAGCATGGATTAAATAGTGGCATGGATGCTTATTTTAGAATTTGATATAATTTGAGGATAATTAATATCATTCAATATTTAACTTTTATTTATGATCAAATTGCATTCTTAAAGTAAAGCAATAATTATCATACAATGCATACTGATGATAATATTCTATGATTAATTAATAAAATTCCATAAAGTCTTATTTAGGTGAATTCAATAAATTAAATACAGAAAAAGATCAAAATCCACAACCTATTTCTTATTAACCAGTTGTTATTAAGCATACTGATACTACATAAGTTAGAATCAAAACTAAACTAGCATGACTATTTTGGACACTATAACTAACAACAAATTATTCTGTCACATTATTAAATATTAATTTACACTTAAATAAGGAAAGAAATCCATCTAGGGATTATCATTCTAATTGAATAAACTGATTACTCAAAATTAAATTTCCGTTAAATTCTTATATATTTTGCAAGACTAAAAAATAAAATATATGAAGAAAATGCTTAATAAGTAAATTGAATCATTTTATATACTACATGAAATTTTTTGGAGATTTTCAAAAGCATAAATTTATAAGATTTATTCAAAGTTATCAAATTATATTCAATATTTTAATTAAATCCTATGTATTCCAATATTATTTATATGTTTAATTGTTATCACAAATTAATAATTAATTATTTTGACTTATATTATATCTATTTCACATTCTTAAAGAAATTTGAACGTTCGATGTTAAATCGCTCAGATTATAGAAAAATTGATAATTGATAATTACATATATTACTACTTCATTTTACAGAAATGTTATAGATTCATTCTTATTTAATTAATTTTCTAATTTTGTAATTATGGACTTTGTAAATGAAAAGTATGCTGTTATCCCAAAATCTTTGAAGGTAAAAGTAATTCTTTAAGTGAGAGTGATGAAGAAATTCAAAAAAATATGGCCCCAGAAAGTAATTCATTCGTCGAAAGAGCTAAATTTTTGTTGGTAAATGGATAAATTTTCTAAAAAATATTTGTTACAAAGAATATTGGAGAATCGTTATCTGACCCCATGGGAGCATCATAATTATTAGAAATAATTGCAAATCAATTGCATTCTTTGCATGATGAAACCTTAATAAAAGAATACATAAAAGCAGTGAGTGAAATATTCAATAAAATCGAAGTATTACGAATTAACATTTTTAGATAAACAATTAACTAAAATAGTCTTATAGTGACATTTGCTTCAATATTTTTACAAAACAATATCAATAGTACGATATCATTAATTCTTGCGCAGAGATATTAAAATACTTAGATGACCTTGATATTTATAAAGAGGGGTTATATCTAGAAACAGACAATCAAATGTATTAAATCCTGAAGATAATCGAAATATATTATCATAAATTTACACCTGAATTAAAAAAGTAGGCTCATCTTCAAATAAAATCAAGTATGAAGCACAAAGACGAAAGAGTTCGCAAAACTATTTCAGAAATATTACTGAGTAATCAATTATTATTAAAATCAATATTACGGGAATTCGATTGGATTGATAAATTCACAACTTTAATTTATGACTCCTCTAAAGATGTTAGAACAAGCTCAGCAAAGTTATTTTTAGCTACTTATGAACTCAATGAAGAGATTCATAAATCTAGATTGTTACTTTTGTTAGAAAATATTATTAAATAATTAGATTCATCTTAATTTGAGTTTTGTCAATCAATTTCATAATATGTAATATTACCCATAATATTTAGAGCTTAAATTAAGATAACTTGCAGTCACTTTTAATTGAAAAAATAACAGAAATCATTAACCATAATAATGAGAATACCTTTCAATTTTTGGAATCTATACATAAGTATTATTCCATAATAAAATAATTTAATGAGAAACACTCTAATTCAATTGATGATTTATTGTTAAATTCTATATAAGTCCTTTCAGAAGATATGAGAAGTTACGACATACTTAAGTGCTTATCAAATTTATACTCTAGTTTATCTTAGGATATGTAATTTAAAGTAATTTAAAAATTATTTCTTTATTTTGAATTAAATTAGCTAATATTTATCCCATATTTATCTGAAATTATTGAGAAAGCAACTTTGATAAATAAAAATAAAATTTGGCTTTAGCAACTTTAGATGATATATGAAATGTTTAAAAGAAATGTTTTTCAATTTGAAACTAAAGGATTGTGGAATGAAATATCAAATATGATCGATATCATGATAATGATATCTAAAATCTTATTCTTATAGAAGGATTTTCTTCAATAATGTTTAAAAATGAGCCAAATGGGTTCTAAATCTATTAGAGACAAAATTATGAATTTTCTAATTGAGAAAATTATTGAATTAGACTCTCTAGAAAGTAGAGATTAAATAATTCAAAATTATTTAGGACTTATTAATCATTCAAATTACTAATTACGATAATTATCAATTGAGTTCATTATTAAATTATGCTAATAAAGATCTAGAAAGTTCTTCATATCAAACAACTTGATAAATATCTTATAATTGTAATATGATTCAGTTGCTTTGGTAAGAGCAAAAATTCCAAAGTTGTTAATCCAAATAAAGTTACTATTTTGGAACGACGAAAAGGAAATTCTTAGCAGAATTGTTTAAATCTTTTAAAACCTGATGAACGATAAGAAATTATACATATAACAAGTACATTCTTATATAATAAGATTTCCAAAGACTTTTGGGCCGAACTAGCAAATATTTAATTTTCGAATGCAGAAAACACAATTGAACAAAATTAATTAATGGATGAAAGGGAACAATAAGAATATGCAAATTTAAAAGTATATACAAATAATATTAGATGATTAAATAGTAACTGTTGCTTAATCCTAAAAATATTAAAAATGATGTCAGCAAATCCAGAAATCAAACTCCTACATCAAGGTTGCCTCCTTCAAATAAAAGATAAAATAATTTCTTATAAGTTCCCAAAGGCACATAGCCTAGAAAAACATCTGGTCTAAGAGTTATTTAATCAAAGTCTCCACAACCCTTTAAATGATTTATTATATATTTTAAAATGTTCACATTTAGAACAATTTACAAATTTACAGCCAAAGCAGTTGATACAGAGGCGCTTTTAAAGAAACTTTAGTCAAAATCTTTAGTCACCTTAACAAGGGACAATTATTAACTGAATATGGGTTTATTGATCCAAAGAGATATAATATTTCTTCATTACACAGAAGAGGAAATGAAACTTAGAAAATTCAGATATCAATTAGGTATTCATTAAGGGTGAATTGTTTATAGAAAAAAGAAACAATTATATTGCGAAATTGCCAAAAGAATTGCATGAGTACACTCATTTCACAGGTGATTAGAATGTTTTTGGAGACGATTCACCAACTCATGTGAGATTGGTAGGGGATGTCCGTACAGTATTTTTAGAAAACAGCAAATTCTTTAAGCATTGTGGTATTCATGCAATTTAATCCTTAGATCCAAATGAAAAGAATAATAAGTTGATTTAGTACAATTCCTTGCACACAGTTTACTTATTGGTTAAATAAAATGGAATCTGGAGTTTTCCAAATATCAATATAGAAGAGAAAGAAACTTTTCAAGAAACATAAACAAAATTATTCGAAAAGATGACTTAAAATACATGGCAAGTATTATTTTTACATCAATTAGGTATACTACTTTAACAGAGACCCAAGATTAGTGACTGTTGATCCTAATCCTGATGAAAATGCAAAAATAAAAGGAGTCAAGACCATCTATTTTTAGGCCAAACATTTACAAGGAAAAGTTTAGATCTTTGGATATGATGATTGGGCTTGGGTTTCTAGATTAGAAATGAATAAATATCTAACAGAAAACGCTTATAACAAAGTTATCCACGCTCTAGATTTGTGAGTTTATATTTTAAAGTATATTAAGAGAATTTTACATTTTCTATTTAAATAAAGTAATTAACCAATGATATGAATCATATTTTAAACTTAGGTTTTAAAGACTTTTTTTTAGGAAATATTTCTCTGTTCTCTTTATCACAACTAGGTTCTTGTAATGAATAGCTTATATTTCTTAATGGTTGTTTCGTAATTAGTTGAATTGAATAATTATGCCTTTTCTTTAAAGGAGAACTTGTTAAAAAGTCACCATTTATATTATTTGAGATTTATTTCAATTTATTTTTCAAATCCTAATTTGTAGAACTTAATTTATGAATTGTAACTTAATTTTCTTATTGAACTAACTTCAATGCCTAAATTTCTTATGTATAACCATCCAATTTTTTTGCTAAAAACATTTCAAACTAATATAATTGCTTATTTAAATTGCTAATCATCTAATTATGATCTTTTTTCAAATTTATTTCCTTAATTACCCATGCACATAGCTATTTATACTCCATTAAAACACTCTCTATAAAATTAGTGTTTGTACACGATTTTTTTGATAAACAATTTTATTGTGATCCCCCACTAAAATGAAAATAGGACTAATTACTTGTAAGGTACCCTTAAAGGAGTTATTGATTATTCTGATTTACAGGAGGCTCTATAATTGTGAGAAACGTTAGAATTTATGCTAATCATTGTCTTCATATTATTCGTTAAATAATAATCAATATAATAAATATGCAAAACTTACTATTATCTAAATTTCTTATTTCTATTTTATCTGAAACAAATCAATTCAATATTATAACTAATAAAACCAAATTTGCTTCATTTTTTTTATATTTATCACAAAGGTTTTGGATTTTTTTGAATGTACATTAAATAATTTCAATGAAATCTAATTTCAAACTGCTAAAGAGGCAAAATATTTTGTTAATGTTTAATCGACCTTTTTACACCTTTGATTAATAAATTTAAGATGATATCATAATTTGGGCAGAGAATGTTATTTAGAGGATACCATTTGGCAAAAAATTCATCTTATAAAATGTAGAATTAAGTTGAAATTTAATTATAATTTATGAGATGATTTACAAACATCAACATCAAATACATTATTAGCATTTGTTACTATTTCTAATAACTTTATTTAAGCATTTCTTAATGTAATCATTAAGTTCAATTAATTGGAGCATAAACATTAAGGAATTATGCTATTTTAAAGAATAAATCAAATCTTAATAAAGAAGTCTTTAAAAATTGAAGTTTCTTAATGCTGATGACCCTAATTAGTAAATCATTTTTTTGTAAAAGTGCCCCTTCAATTTTTAAATTTATGCATAAAAAAATTATAATTTTCAATTCAAACTGAAGAATTGAAAATTATAATCAAATTTATAAATTAACAATTTATTGAACAGCTAAATCACTTAAATTTCAGAATGAACAACAAGAACATTATTCATTGTATAATAAATTCTTTCTATATTAAAAAGTATTGTATATGAGTATTTTCTTATTGAAATCTAAATTAAGATCGAAAAAGATATGATTTCTCTAGTTAGTTTCTAAATTTATTTACGAAATTAGATTTGGTCGTTAAAATTTAAAATATTAGATATCTATGAATATAAATTATTTTAATAACAAATCAATCATAGTTCTTTTAAAATAAATCTCGTTTCAATTATGGAAAATTTACTAAGGAAAAGATTGCATTACTTAAGGAAGTAGAATTATCAAAAATAGATAATTTATTATTATGTAAAATATTAATATTTTTATTATATCTTTCATGAAATCTTATTGATATAATAATAATCTATTTCATTATATATCTCCTCCGAAATTAGATCATAATTTTTATCGATTTTTCTTCTGGATTAAGATAATATGTCTGCATCATCCGCATTTAAGACATAATTATCTTCAAAAGATTTTTCTGATTTCGGTGTAAAAACAATTTCACTCTCTTTTTACTAAAGTAGGTTAATCTTTATTCCTATTTAATGAGATTTCAAAAATTCATTTCTAAATTTTGATGATCTCATAACAAAATACAGTCTAGATATTTCATACAATAAATTCAAATAACTAAACTTTTATTTCATCTAATTGGAAACATTCTCATAAAATTTTCCATAAATATTTGGATCTATTTTCATCTTATTTAGACTAACTTCAACTATTTTCCCCCTCCAATTCTTTGTAATTTATATCTTTTTAAATTCTGGGTAGTAAAAGCTCATAAGCTCTTTTAATACCTTTTAATTTAAGAAGTACTCATTGAATAACATAATGATGTATTTGATCATAAATAATATTGATACAATAGATCCGATATTTGCTAATAGATCACCTACCCGTGGATACTCTAAAGTTATTTTTTCTTGAGTTCCTTTCATCCCAAGATACACTATTGCAAGTGCTTCATTTTAAAATATTTTTTAGCAATATTCTAATGAATTTGTTTAGGTTTGTATTTATAAGTCGACAATATATTCTTTGTATTGAGAAGATCCAAATAATATATAATTTTAGAGCTCAAATAAGTTTGTTTTAAAAAAAGATTGCATTGAATAACAATATTGTTCCTCTATTTACAAATAGTATTCTTAGAATCCACGTTATTTTTTTCCATCCCGAGGATCTATTGTTGTTGAATAAAATTCAATTATAACCACATTTCCTATTTAGGCAAAGAATTGCTCTCTTAGTTCTGGCGATGCACACTTTTCACCAGGTTTTAAATATTTCTCCGAGCATAAAACTATTTCAATGTACATTTCATTTGAAGTATAAATATAATCATCAAACCTAGAAAAACCAAGCTTCATATCTGGTACATAAANTTGTATATGAGTATTTTCTTATTGAAATCTAAATTAAGATCGAAAAAGATATGATTTCTCTAGTTAGTTTCTAAATTTATTTACGAAATTAGATTTGGTCGTTAAAATTTAAAATATTAGATATCTATGAATATAAATTATTTTAATAACAAATCAATCATAGTTCTTTTAAAATAAATCTCGTTTCAATTATGGAAAATTTACTAAGGAAAAGATTGCATTACTTAAGGAAGTAGAATTATCAAAAATAGATAATTTATTATTATGTAAAATATTAATATTTTTATTATATCTTTCATGAAATCTTATTGATATAATAATAATCTATTTCATTATATATCTCCTCCGAAATTAGATCATAATTTTTATCGATTTTTCTTCTGGATTAAGATAATATGTCTGCATCATCCGCATTTAAGACATAATTATCTTCAAAAGATTTTTCTGATTTCGGTGTAAAAACAATTTCACTCTCTTTTTACTAAAGTAGGTTAATCTTTATTCCTATTTAATGAGATTTCAAAAATTCATTTCTAAATTTTGATGATCTCATAACAAAATACAGTCTAGATATTTCATACAATAAATTCAAATAACTAAACTTTTATTTCATCTAATTGGAAACATTCTCATAAAATTTTCCATAAATATTTGGATCTATTTTCATCTTATTTAGACTAACTTCAACTATTTTCCCCCTCCAATTCTTTGTAATTTATATCTTTTTAAATTCTGGGTAGTAAAAGCTCATAAGCTCTTTTAATACCTTTTAATTTAAGAAGTACTCATTGAATAACATAATGATGTATTTGATCATAAATAATATTGATACAATAGATCCGATATTTGCTAATAGATCACCTACCCGTGGATACTCTAAAGTTATTTTTTCTTGAGTTCCTTTCATCCCAAGATACACTATTGCAAGTGCTTCATTTTAAAATATTTTTTAGCAATATTCTAATGAATTTGTTTAGGTTTGTATTTATAAGTCGACAATATATTCTTTGTATTGAGAAGATCCAAATAATATATAATTTTAGAGCTCAAATAAGTTTGTTTTAAAAAAAGATTGCATTGAATAACAATATTGTTCCTCTATTTACAAATAGTATTCTTAGAATCCACGTTATTTTTTTCCATCCCGAGGATCTATTGTTGTTGAATAAAATTCAATTATAACCACATTTCCTATTTAGGCAAAGAATTGCTCTCTTAGTTCTGGCGATGCACACTTTTCACCAGGTTTTAAATATTTCTCCGAGCATAAAACTATTTCAATGTACATTTCATTTGAAGTATAAATATAATCATCAAACCTAGAAAAACCAAGCTTCATATCTGGTACATAAACATCTCCAGAAGTTGTAAGTGTATGATTTTGTATTATCTAAGCATCTGTCACAAAATTGTTATTAGCATAAACCACTAATGGCAATAAAATTTTTTATTCAAATGGATCAATTATGCCTTCTTCATATTTCCAATAGTATACCCTTATTATTTGGTCACTCAAGTCTAGCAAAGAGTAGTCAGATATATAATTTTAACGGGATACTTTTGGGCTCATTTAATTAGTTTACCAAAGGTAGCCAATCCAAAATACATAAGCTAAACTTACTAAAAAAATTGTAATCGTTATAATTCCCCCAAATATACTTTTATATTTTGTTTAATCTTGATCAATATTTTATATAAATGGAACTCCAAAGAAATCTGCCTTTTTTAGAATTTTCATGAATTAATTTAAATTAATATCTATATCTCAAGTTTATTTGATAGGTCAAAACGAAAGATTTAAGCCAACACTTTAAAAATTCTCATATATACATAAAATACTATATTTCCTTAAGAATTAGAATAGTATTATGTAATATGGTTTTTAATTTAATTTTCTCAGTTTATTTTTATTTAATTGATTATTTTATTAATAGAAATAAAACAAAATATAATGAACGATTGGACAGCAACCAAAAATGATTATATTAATGAAAGAAATTAAAGTGAGAGATTAAAAGCTATAAATGAACAGTAAAATGAAGAATTAAAGAAATTAAAAGATTAAATTGATTAAATTAGACAGTAGATTGAGGTGTAACTAGTGCAAAGGGGAAAATAATAAGAAGTAATTTGAAATTAAATTATGATTAGACAATAGATAATCTTTAATACGCAAGATAAGTATAAATAAGATAAGGCTAAGAAAGATTGGAAGAATTGAACAGATAATTAGAAAGAGCATAAGCTGAATAAAATAGGCTTTAACATGAATAAAATGTTGTTTAAGTACCTGAAGTAGCTGAATTGGAGATCTAATCTAAGGTATCCTTTTATTTCTAATATGATTAGAAAAGTGAGGAAAAAGATGGAAAAATTAAAGTTGAAATTGAATTAAAGGAAAACTCGACTCAAATTGAAGTTCAAGAGTAATTATTGGCAGATAAAAAGTCTGTATCATTGAAGGGTTATGCAATTCTTGATTCAACTTTATATTATTTTAACAAAGTTATAGAATTATGGAAAGAAGTTTAAGAGAGGGAATCTATCCAATTAAATGGACATGTATTGACAATTATATATAAATGATAAATATTATTATGATTTCATCTTTAAGTATTCCCTAAACAAAGTAATCTTCTACATCCTTATTCCATAGAGTTATCAATAGTGGAAGCCACCATTACTAAAAATAATTAAGGTAGAAAATAATTCTCAAGCTGGGTACTATGTGTGGTAGAGTCCATCCTTGAATAGCAGCAAAATAAGAACTACAGGGGCAGTATTACTATGAGAATTATACTAGACTTCTATTATGATTATTCGGGTAATAAATTCTGCTTCAGGATTTGCTCGAAGATTCAGATAAGTCAGAGCCCTGCTTTAGTTAATAACTTGTAAAAGAGTAAACCAGATTTTAAAATAAAATAGGGAGAAGAGAAGCTGGATTATCGAATTTGATAGTTAAAATTATTTATTTTAAATGAGAAAATAAGCAGAATATGAACTATATAAACGTCTTAAGTTATTAGGCGAAGGATCGTTTGGGAAGGCGTATTTGGTGGAGTGTCTGTAGGACAAGTAGATATTGCTTTTTAATTCTTAGGTCTCTGTGGGTCACCAAATACATGGATTTAGCTGCAATGACTCCTTAGGAGAAGGACGAAACCTTGAGAGAATCTAAAATCCTTGAATTTCTATCCCATCCTAATATTGTGAAGTTTAGAGAAGTTTATAAAACAAAAAAAGCGAGATTGTGTATCGTTATGGAGTATGCTGATGGTAAATATAATATAAATTCCTAGGTGGTGATTTGGCATAAAAAATCAAGGAGGCCAAAGGCAAATACTTTTCTGAAGCTCAAATTTTAGATTGGTTTACCCAATTATGTTTGGCTATTAAACATGTTCACGATAGGAAGATTATTCATAGAGATTTAAAAGGACAAAACATTTTCCTGACCAAAGAAGGCCAAATTAAATTAGGAGATTTTGGAATAGCTAAGATTTTGAAAAAAACATTCGAGAAAGCTAAGACAATGGTTGGGACACCTTATTATATAAGTCCTGAAATAATAGAAGGCAAGCCTTATACATTTATGACTGATATATGGTCATTGGGAGTCATACTATATGAACTGTGTGCTTTGTAACCGCCTTTCAATGCCGAATCACTACATTTTCTAGCTTTAAACATCGTTAAAGGACAATACAAACCTATTCCTTCTCATTATTCTAAAGAATTGAAGTAGCTTATCTAATCATTATTGCAACTTGATTATCGAAGAAGACCTACAATCTAAGAAATTTTAAGTACTGATTAATTTCCTATTCATAGAAATGCCAGTCATTACAAATAGAATTAAAAGCTTTTTAAGTGAGACCATTTAGAAATAAGAATTTTCACACACTATTTTCCACAATAAAGTGTTTGAAGTCAAAGGAAATTTAAGTTAAGTGAATTTTATATTGAATGAATAACCATGTCCACCTTAATACTTGGAACAAAATGCCAAGAACTTGTAAGAGTTTCCCAACATAGCTAAAAAACCTTCCGTTTAAGAATTCGATGCTGTTCGACCTCCATAACTGTCAAAATAATAATAACCACCCTCGTCTAGGTAACCTGATCCTTAAAAAGATGCACCTAAAATAATATAATAAGAATAATAATAAAAACCATAGGAAATACCAAAATAAATTGATGTTCCAAGAAAAATCGATCCCATCACAAAGAATTCGCCTTTGATATAAAAAAAGGATGCTTAAAAAGCAACTCCGCCATAGAAGGAAATCAGAAAGCAATCTCCATAATAAAAATATAATTCAAGACCCAATAGTGATTAAGAAAAATAATAAAGAAGCGAGCCATGCAAATTTGATGCCTAGGAGTAAAAGAAGCACTCAAATAGCAATGAACAACCAAAACATTAATAAAAAATTGAATAGCCAAGGTTAGATTATTTTCTATTCATTTAGACCTCCAACTGCTCCTAAAGAAAAGCCAAAACATCAAGCAGTCCAATAAAGGCCTTAAAGTTCAAAGCCACAAATTTAAGAGTAAAAAGTGGTTTAGAAAGTGAGCATTGAAAAGAAGAGGCCCATAAGTGTGGACAAATCTCCAACTGCCCAACAATAATAATAAAAGCAATAGCAATTAGAATAGTAACGCCAAGAAGAAAGGATTCGTTTGTTAAAATTAAAATAACAATAGGAGTAATAAGAGAAAGAAAAGAAAGAAAAGAAAGAGAAGGAACAATAAATTTAATAAGAATAATTGCTCGAGAAATAAAGGCAATATGAAAAATAATAATAGTTGGAAAAGTAATAAAAAGAAAAATAATAATAATTGGAAAAATAATAACAATTAGAGAAATAGAAGGAATAAGATAGAATAAAGTAAGAAGAAAAACAGAAAAATGCTCAAAATTAATAAAACCAAAAAATTGATGTTAATAAGTAAGATTAATAAAAATAAAATTTGGAAAGATAACCATCATAAAAATCATCTCAATTAGATAGCAAATAAAATGAATCAAAGTCACAGTTGAAATTAAAAGCTGACTAACTACAAAAGATTGAAAAGAATGGCAAAGACTTTGCTCTTATGCTTAAAGAACTAGAAGGATTGGTATAAATTAAATTTAATTAAGATTAATAACATTAATAATGCTATTGATAAATTTCCAAGTTAAGGTGGCAAAGAAAATTATTTTGATTTTAGCTCTATTTAGACTATGTAGATGGAAGATAGAGAGGATGATGAGGACGAACCAACTATTTAATTCGAGAAGAAAACGAAAGATGGTCTAAAGTAAATATCAAAGGAAGAGGAGGAATGTTTAGAAATGTTAAATAAGCAAGATTAAAGACCATCTACTTTAAAATAAAAATTAGAAAATGCTCTTGGAGTAGAAAAGATGAACAAAGCAAAAAACATTCTGAAACAAGCTGTAATTTTATTATTTATGAATAGCTAGAGGAACTGGATTTAGAAAAAATGGAAGAATAATACGGACCGAATTATGAGAAATTATTACCATTTTTAACTTTTGAAGAAAGAAAAAAATATGCACCACTCTTATTTACTCATATTATAGCTGAATGATAGAATTGATTAGTTATTAAATAATATTAAATGTATTTATCATAGTGTAATCTCTTAAAAAGAAGTATTCAAAAAATTAACTATTATAATAAATAACAAATCATTGGACCAAACTTGTGTTAATATCTTTCTAAATTAAGATAATAAAATACGTTCCTTAAAATATCCATAAATTAATAGATTTTTAATATTGAGATAAACTAATAAGGTTACAATTGGGAATCAATTGTTAGATAAGACTGCTTGTTTATAATTATTTCTCATGCTTCTTTCTTTGAAAAACAGTATGAATTTAACATTTTAGGAATATTTTTATTTAATTTCAAACTCATGATTTTTATTGGAGAAAATAAAGAGAAATGAAATGATAAAAAGACATGATTTGTCTTTATATAGTTTTATTTATACAGAATCAGGGAATTGTAATCTTTAAGGGCTCATAGTCTTATTTAGAGACTTGCCAAAATATTCTCATCACAATCAATTTTTTAATTAAATTATTTAAACCCCAGTATGACAGATTTTGCTTTGACAACTTTTAGCAGTAAAGGCAAGTTATTACAAATTGAATATGCATTGAATGCTGTAGCAAAGGGAGATACAGCTATAGGAATCAAGGCTAAAAATGGTGTAGTTTTGGTGGTGGAGAAGAAATAGTCATCAATTTTGATCGAAGAATCAAGTGTTCAGAAAATAGCTTTGTTGACAGATAACGTAGCAGCTACATATGCCGGTTTAGGACCAGATTTTAGAGTGTTATCATAATAAGCAAGAAAATTAGTGAAGAAATATGATTTGAAATATCAAGAGGAAATTTTCGTATAAACATTAAGCAGAGAATTGGCAGAAGTAGAATTATAGAATAAAATTAGGATGTATAAATAGCTACATAGAGAGGTGGAATAAGGCCATTTGGTGTATCCATTCTTATAGCAGGTTATGATGAGGAGGGACCTCATTTGGTGTAACTCGATCCAAGTGGCGCTTATTATAGTTGGAAAGCAACAGCAATTGGCAAACAAGCTAAGAATGCCAAAGCTTTTTTAGAAAAGAGATACAATGCTGATATGGAAATTGAAGATGCCATTAATACAGCCTTATTAACATTGAAAGAAGGATTTGAAGGTATATCTATAAATATCTATCAAAGGATAAATAACACCTACTAATATTGAAGTTGGAGTGATTAGGGATGATCATGTATTCAGAATATTGCCAGCATCTTAAGTAAAGGACTATTTGGAAGAATTAGAATGATAATTGATAATGAGATATTTATGAAATATAAATTAATCCTAATGTAACTCATTTCTTTATAAACATTGAAAATATTCCTAAAAAGTAGAAAATACAACTAATTGTTGGTAATATTTTGAAGGAATGATGTAATAATAATACTAGTAATTAAATTCCAATAATTGCATTTTCAGCCATATCATTTGGTAATTTCACTTCTTGTGGTAACCATTAGAAAAATGTGTAAGTGATTAATACTGGAAATGATGCCAAATAAACTAAAAAGGAGTTTTCAATTTTATCTGAATAGAACCCAAAGTTAAATAAAGACATTATTATCATAAATGCTCCTTTGTATAATTGTAAGTTTTGGTTATGAAATCTATAGCGTTCTTAAATGATCCCAGATCCTGTTTGACATGCTTATCCAAAAACCAAAGCCCATACAGCTAAGATTCTATCATTACTCATTAGATTCAAAGTGAATCCAAATAAAAGCAATATTGAACTCAAGTTATTTTAGATTTTGATGCTGTGAACAAATAAAGTTTTAAAATTGAAAACCAACATAATCACTAATAAATCGATTTTTCGTAGTGCTGCAAATAAGGTGAAATACCCAATGGCATCTTGTATATACAATATTATTACTTAACCCTCCAATCACTGCCATCATCAAAGCATCATACTGAGATTCAAAAACGTATTGTGATCTCTGAGAGTCAAGCAGCAGAATAAATCCATATTATATTGACAATGTCACATAATTTGGTTCTAGTTCTTTTAATATGACCATTATGCCCAAACAACCTATTGCATTAATTGCCATCAATAGTTTTGAAGAATTATTCTGTCCAATTAATGAGTCAAGGTAGTCTATACTTAACATTTATATAATTTAATTAAATCAATGAGGCTTAGGTTTGTGACCATCAACATAGAAATTCCTTGTAGCTTTTGGTAATTATATTATAACATTCTCAAATTTCTCGTCAACCTTTACTTAACATCCCAGTCTCGATGTTTCTGTCAATCCATATGCTAGATCCAAGAGATCTTCTTCTTCAGGTACAGGCTATGGCAATTTATCATACAATTATTCTATATCAAATTCATGTTTATTACTTGGTAAGATAACATGACAAGTTGAACATGCTAGTGATTATTCACATGCCCCTTCTAAATCAACTTCGTTTTTATGTGCGATTTATAATAAATTCTATCCAATTGGTGATGTTACTTTTGTTAGGGAATTATCTTTATTTTTAAAATAGAATGTCACCATTTTTGATGAAGAAGCACCGTATTTACTAAAAAGTCTGATCATCAAAATTATATAATTATGGTAATTATTACATTAGATTAATTGATTTATAACACATTTTCAAACAATTTTAAAATTCCCAATGTGGATTATTATATATTTACTTAGCAACATAAACAATACTTTTCCACTGATTTATAGTCTTACTAAATATCAAACACAAATCCTAAAGAAATTATATTGTTAAAAATTTAATTTGTGCATTAAATAATAATTTATGAGGACTGGTATTTATAAAGTGAATCCTTTTATTTTGGTTTATCCAGTATTTCTATATCTTTTAAGATCCTTACTTTCGAATTTATAATTATATAACAAGGGGAACAAATTAATATCTTCAGAATCATAAGCTAATTTCAGAGAAAATAACTATATGAAAAACAAAAATATTATAGATTTTTAATTAGTCTTATAACTTAGCAGTAATTAATGTTGAAAATGAATAATATTCAATTATTATGAAAAGAACTCCTAAAAATTTGTTCCTATGTATTTTTTATGTATGAAATTTTATTATAAGCTTGAAATATTTAATTTTCTAAAGTTAGATATTAATTGATTCATTAAATGTAATTTAATTAATTTATAGATCATCAATTCACATAAAAAAACATAGAGCTAAAGTGCAAAGTTAACAACACTTGTTTTAGCACATAATTTTCATTATAAGGCTGCTCTCTAGAACTTTTGTATTTCAAAATATAGATTAGAATCAAGATCTAAAAATATAATTGAAATATATTCTGGCATCACTTAGGGAATAAATCTTATTATATGATTTGTTTATGATGCTTAACATTTCAACTACAGAATTTGAAAATACTTAGTTTTAGAGACTTCATAAATGGATACATATTTTAATTCCTAAAATTTTACAAATGTAGGGCAGGGTAAGAATGAGACGAATAAAATAGATTTGATTATCATTTTAAGGATACAAATGTTTTGATTTCATTGCTCCAAAAAAATGAAATCAATATATTCACAAAATATGAAAGAGGGTTTTTTAATTAATGTTAAGTTCAGAAATCAAAATGTCCTTGCTTGATTAGAACACTCATCATGTAGTATAAAATTATAATACATTTTGATTCTCTTATTATTTTTGTCTATAATAATATGATTATTACTAATTATTTTAATTATTAGATGACCCAGAAAACAAAATAGTTTGGAATTATGTTTGGGATTATTGTCATATTGGATATAATCAATTGTACTTTGATTAAAGAAATGCCGATTATAGTTTGCAATTCTTTGATTTTATTGTTTTGCATAAGTAAATTTGTCCATTTATGTAAAAAGCTCATTATATTCTGAAAATTAAGTACAAAAAATATGAAGAGCTCTTATTGTTTTCTTTGTTCTTTCATAATGCAGTATAGATATACTATTATGGAATGAAGTCATTGTGGTTTTTAATTTATCTTTTACAAATATTCAAATATGAAAAACATAATAAACTACTTAAATATTGTAAATTTATTTAATTAGCTATCAGCATAATTATATATTCTATTTAATATGATGGTTGGTTGGATTATGCTTATTTTTAGCAACTCAATAATTTTATTGCTATTTTTATTTATCAAATTTTCAATTAACATAAATAAGATTCAAAAATGGAGGTAACAGAAAATTTCATTATTTAAGAAATGAAGAAATTAATAATTTTTAAAATATTCGATCAACAATTTAATGAGCTTTCTAAGACTACTTCCAATAATTATATTCTGGCAACTTCAACTCAACAGGATGAGAATCAAACGTTCCAAATCAAGGCTTATCAAGATAAAGAACTAGCCTATACTCCTTAGCACTAATGTGATTGGAAACCCACCTTAATATTCAACGACTATTAAAGTTTTATTGAACATATTCACAATTTAGAAAATTTAGATTCTTAAATGTGTTATCATTATGTTGCTATATAAACTGATTTAGTGAAGAAAATTAAAACAAAGTATAAAGTATTATATAAAGAACTTGGAAAATAAGACATAATTATAATTGCACTGGTTAGAATTGATAATTTTGCTGAGAAGCAAATGATTTTTAAGTTCAAAAAGTTTAAAAAATACTTCTATGATATTTTTGCTCACAAATTAAAAACGCCCTTAAATGCTTCTTTAGGTTTTCTATCATCTGCTTACAATTATACAGAAATGGATAATACCATCAAATAAAATTATATTAAACCAGCATACATAAACTCTAAATTGTAATACTTTTAAATTTCAGATCTTTTGGAATTCCTTAATCCATAATGTGATTAAACCAGACTATAATATTGTAAAATTAATATGAAATCATTCTTGTACACACTTAATGAATTAATTGAATCTTAATGTTAAAACAAGAAGATCCTATTCTAGATTTATGTCGAGAGAGTTCCCTTAAATAGTATCGAGAAGTAAATTCTTAAAAATATTAATTTTATAGATTTTACATTTCAACTGATCTACTGAAATTGGAGAGAATTCTATATAATTTGTTGAATCTAACTTATAGATACACTCCATAAAATGGCTAAATTAATTTACATATATTTATCGACTAAACGAATTCCTCGATTATTTTTATTATAAATGGAAATGGTTAATTATTTAATGAGGAAGAATTGTTAAAAATAAATTAATGGATTAAATCCCAAACCGAATTTTAATATAAAAAAAAATCAATACCACTTAAAAAGGAGATTAAATTATCCTTAGAAATAACTAATCACTTGATTAATACTTTAAGTGACTATGAATAACATCTCGAAATTTCCTCTTCTTACATAGGTACTGAATTCAAATTCAGATTAATTCTGAAAGACAATAAAACAACAGAAGGATCGTAGGAATAGTTCACCATTGGGTTTATGTTAAAGCAAAAGAGTAACAAAAGTTTTAAATCTGGCACTACTAAATAAAAATCTCATAAATCGATGATCATAGAACTTGCATCAACATCCCCTTTGAATTCTTACAGAAGCATCAATGAACCATAAGCAAACACTCCAATCGCTACTCCAATTAATTAGACTAAAGTTAACAAAAGTTCTGCAACTTTAAAAAGAATAAGATCATCTTTTACTAATAAAGGGGTGATGGATTTTGATAAGAAAATCTTGATTGTGGACGATGAACCATTTAATCATGATATTTTAATTTTAATGATGAAGAATATGGGGTATAATCAATTCTTAAAAGCATTTAATGGACAATAAGCTATTGATTTGGTTAAAGAGAGAGAGGAGGAAATATCTATTATAATAATGGATTTAGACATGCCTATAATGGGAGGAATTGAAGTATTTATTATTCAGATTATAAAGGCTACAAAAATTTTAGTAGATATGATGTTTGAGTAAAACCTTGTGTATATTCCAATAATTGGTTGCACTGCTCACGATGATAAGGAAACAATGGACAAATGCATATAAGTTGGGATGCTCTATGTAGTTGTAAAGCCAGTATTTGTGAAAAGCCTAATAGATGCTTTCAAACAAATAACCAACACTGATGATACTAGAAAACGATCATTTTTGTGTGTCGCTTCTTAATTACAAATTTGATTTAAATATTATTATTATTTACAATACTAAAATGCTAAAGGAGATAGAACATAATGTGATACTCATATTTCTATTACAATTAGTTTCAATTCCGTTTTCATTTATTGAACAGAAGTATTATTTGTTAATTTTGAATTTGATTGAAGTTCGTTGATTATAGGTATAGTCTTAATTTATGTTAAGTAATCTCTGTATTTATCTTTTGCATCTGTCAATTTCACAGTGTGTACAATAAGTCATACGGATAAACCATTACAGAATGAGGAGTTTTCTACATATTTGATGTCTATTTATAGTACAAACATTATAAAAAAGGAGAAAAGTAATATTTAAACGAGGTTTTTCTGGAATTTAATAATAAACATTAATAAATTAAAACACATTATAGCTTCGCAAAATAACCAAAATTGCTCTAGGTTTATGATAAGGAGCATTCCAATTTGTTTTATATCCTATACATAATAACAGCGGGAAGCAGCAAATAAAGATATAGAGTTCAAATCACCGGAAATAAGGTTGAAGATTATATCTTAAGATATCATAAGTTGGACAGTTTATTTTACTTTAAATTCAAAGGATCAAAAAAACGATTTAGACAAAATTTATCTTACATTTTCTCTCACAAACTCAAAGCTCCATTAAATTAAGCGTAGGCAAAGATAACATCAATGCTTACTGACACTAGTGTGCTTCCATATTAAAAGTTGATACTCTCACAGATCTACATTTATCGAAATGTCAATTGTACAGCGTTTTGGATTTGTGGATTATGTTAACTCAGGGTCAATGATATTTCAACCTTCTCGAGTCGAATTAAATTATTTATAATGTTAGAGATCTGATAGAATAGTGCAAAGCAAAATCAATTGAGTTGAATATTATTGTAGAAAAATTGCAATTCAAAGATTATAAAGGGCATGTTTGATTATTGGAATATTGTAGAAATATTTAGTTAAACACTGATTCATTGAAATTGGAAAGAATTCTGTGTAATTTACTAAATAATGCATACAGACATACAAATCAAAATGGATAGATTGATTTAGCAGTGGAATTAATTTGAGGAACATTTTATTTCAATATAAAGTATTCAGGAATAGGAATGGCATATTATAATTTGTAATTTTATTATCACTAAAATCCGTCAAATAAAAACAAACGGTCTTGGAATCACAAATTAGGAACTACATTGTTTGTAACCAATATATTAGTTCATTTATTAAATGGTAGTAAGGACCAATTAGAAATTCTTAATTTGAATGAACCAGAGTTTAAATTCTCGATCTTATAAGAATTGAATAGCAATAGAAGAGCATCAGAGTTTGGATTTGCAGTTTAAGTTCAGATAGATCAGAAATAAATGTAATATTGAATTAGTAGTAAATAAAAATAGAATAATTGAAACATCAAAGGAATAGGAAATAGACAATTGCCCAACCTTAAAACTAGAGTAAACATCCGATATTTTAAAATAAGAGATCTACATCATTTTTTTATGTGAACTAATTTCTTAGATAGTTTAGTTTCAAGAAGAGTTGAGCAGAATCAAATCAAGAGTAAATGGTGGAGAATGATTAATTTATTATGATAGTTGATGATGAACCATTCAATAATGACACTTTGGTTATGATGTTGAAGAGAATTTGATATATTAATTTTATCAATGCTTATGATGGGTAGAGAATGTATTAATAAGGCGTAAGAAAGCCATTTAAAAATAAAGTTGATTTATATGGATTTAGATATGCCCATTTTAAATGGATTTAGGTAAAAAATAAATATAAATTCAGAGCCACTTCAGTACTCAATAAACTAATGAACACTAACGAAATTAAGAAATTCCCATAATAGCATGCACTGCTCATGATGATTATGAGACTGAGACAAAATGCAAAGCTCTGGGAATGTTAGCTATCATCAATAAACCAGTATTTATAAAATAACTCTAAACTGTAATTTAAAATATTCCTAAGACTTTTTGAATCTTCTTATAATAATAAAATAGAATTATTATTAATATATAATATATAATATACTACCAAGCATTCAAAATATCATTTACATTAAACATATATTGGACTGCTTGTTGGTTATTTGATACCTACTACAAAATGTTTTAATTATATTGAATTGCACAATTCTTCATCAATTTCAGACCCTTCTGATGTGCCATCTTCGAAACTAATCTTTCTGCTTGAATTAACTCCTTTAGATGGAGAACGAACACTCCTCCTTTGAGTTAAAATTGATCTTAATTTTATTAATGGTTTAGAAGAGTAATTATGAGAAATCACACGACTGCTTTTTTCAACTTGTTAAAAGAGAGAGAACATATAATCATAATCAGGATCTTCTTCAAATTGCAAGTCCTTAACATAATCCATAAATATTGACAATTAAATTGGTAATCCAAAGAAAGTGTCTAATTTTAGTGACTTTTTCATTTTCTTTATCTTAGAATATCTAGTTTCTTTGTCTTGATCATAAATATTCGACCATGGCAAATCGCCTTAATGTAAATAGATGAGCATGTAGCCTAAAGATTCGAGATCATCTCTTCTTGATTACTCAATACCTTTCAAGGCATTAATAGAAGCATATCGAGCAGTGCCAATCATCCCCTTATTTTCTCTGTAATTTATATGACTCCCATTAATTATATATTTCTTAGATAACCCAAAATCAATTAAATTTACTCTCCCTTGGTGCATCACAAAGTTCTCTGGCTTAATATCTCTATGAATTACTCCTTCCGAATGGAGCTCTTTCAAAAGCTACAATATTTCTAATCCAATTGGTAAGATCTTATTGAAATTGCCTTTGCTTTAACGAATTTATTCTAAGTTTTCTCCCATCAAATTCATCACAAAATAGGTATTATTTAAATCCGAACCTGACGCAAATAATTACGTAAATCCTAGAATAATAATATTACTAAAACTTACCTTTCTTGCCTTTTAGCTATTATAGTATCTATATTTCCCTGAGTAACAACTTTTTTTCCTTTTTCATCTGATTTTTAACGAGTTTACAGGCATATATCTATCCACTCGAAATATGTCTGACTTTCCATATGTAACCAAAAGCCCTATTTTAGTTTGTGATTGTTACCCTTAACCTAATTTATCGAGAAATTGGTAGGAAGAAGAAGCTGGCTCCTTAAATGATTTTTGAATGGAAATCATTTATTTGATATCTATTATTTTAAAAACTATTATAAATTAAATTTTCTTCACTATTATATACGATGATTATTATTATATTAAGACTTTGAATAATCTTCCAAAATCCATTTATGGCAATTGCATTCGAGATTAGTTCCTTGCTTATAATTATGAAACAAATGAGAAGCCAAGAAATTGCAAACGCGAAGCCCTGATTTCTAGAAGAACAAAAGAATAAACAACTAAAATCGTATTGATAATATGTATCAAAGGGAAAATTTGATTTTGTTCTCTTCTAATCCATCTTCGGAAAAAAATAATTGTCTCTTAATTGTATTTAATTCTGAATCATTAAAGTTATAGGAGCAATGCTTCCTTTTCTTTGGTGCTTATGGCAATACTAGCTATTTCTGCTTTTTCTCTGGAGTTCTTTAATTCATGATAAAAATTAATAAATATAATGAATTTATAATTTTTGCATATCCATAATTTTGATTTGCTTAGAGCAAAACCTTGCTACTAATTTTGAACTTCTGCTATTTAGATTTGTCTAATATTTTCGAATAAATTGATATCTAAAATCATAACCTTAATATTATAACTAATATAATTAAATTCTTAAGTTAGCTAACTGGCTAGTAAATATAAAACAATAATTAATAAGTATAACTTAATTATTATTAGAATAAGATTCATGATAATGTCTGATTCACAATTTCTATCTGAATTTTAAATCAAAAAATCATTTTTAATCCCTTTTCAGTTTTTTACATCCTATATATATATATCTATTGAGAGATGATAACTACTTAACCCTTTATTCTATTAAAACCATAAATATTCGTTGAATAAGAACTCTCCCTTTGGCAGTCATATTGTAAATTATGTATAGTTTAAAATGAAGATATGTGATTTTTTACTCAATTAAGAAGGCTAAATATAATCATAAATGATATTTGATATCATATATTTATCCCTTTTATCATGTAGAGAATAGCATTAATTATTTTAAAAGTTCGGAAGAACAAGTAAGTAATTTGAATCTATCCAATTTCTTTCCGTATGATTCTAGATATTCTATCATTCAGATTTAAACAAATGAGTAATTTGAACTGGAAGATCTAAGTGCAAACTAATTGAAATTAGATTACAATTATAAAATACAGATTTTTATAGAATATGTGAATTAAAAAACTTTATTAATTTTGGATTAATCAATTCTCAAATAAATTCTAGTGATCCTCATTTTCATTAATTCCTTTTTAAATAGATATAAATATATACCCTCTTTTTTCTCGCTTACTTAGTTTTAAATTTAATCTTCAAAATCAATTTAATCATTATCTAATGGTTATTTTGCAGCAGATTCAACAGCCTATTATGGCAATGGTTCTTATTCGATGCTTTGAGACACAACTACTACTTACTTTGGTTGTGGCTACATACTTTATACATTCAATACTTGTGGTGGGATTAACTCTTGGGCAACATGATATTGACCTGCTCTTTCGTAAATAATTCCACTTTCTTCTGCTTAGGCCAAAAAGTTGTGAACAGTTTATTCTTCGACAGCATTTGTGTAGAATAAACCGAGGTTGTTGGTAATTTCCTTCAGAGCTGCGGATGCTCCAAAAGAGGCTATCACATTTATTACATTTTGTTGCAATTGATCAGGGAATTATGAACTGGGAACTTCAGGGTAATAGAGTTTATCTAGACTAAATTGATGAAGTACTGAATCTATCTTTTGTGGCCTTTGGTTTTTTTTCTTATGTTTGCTTTTTTCCTTTTTTAACAGGAGATTGTGGGGGGGATTCAGGTTAATCAGCTGGTTCATCATTACCTTTAGTTTTTTTAGTCTTTTTAATTTTCTTATCAACAACTTCCACTTATTTTGCTTGTTCTTATTTGGTTTACTTTCCCTTTGCCATGAAACTTTTCTTGATGATATAATTTAAATATAAACTAAAAGCGGCAAATATTTGTATAGATTATAATCTTATTTATTATTGAATTGGCCAATAATATTGTAGATAATGAGTGATAA